GCTACTCAGGCCTTGGAGAAATACAACATCGAGAAGGACATCGCTGCGCACATAAAGAAGGTAGGGGTTTGCTTGTGCTGTGCTCGGGGAATGGCCATGCACTGGAGAATCGAGGAGGGAGAATGCTGCCAGGCAAGTAGCTCTAGAGAAACAAGTTCTAGAGACTAGCTCTAGATAATCAGGTAGGACTTTCTCTGCAGGCTGGTGTCCTTCTGTTCCTTTCCCCACCCTTTACATGGACTGTTCCGGGTCCTTCTGCTTTTCATAGAATCATAGAATGGTTTGGGTTGGAAAGGACCTTAAAGATCATCTGGTTCCAACCTCCCACCATGAGCAGGAACATCTTCCACTAGACCAGGTTGCTCAGAGCTCCATCCAACCTGGCCTTGAACGCTTTTCTCTGGCAGTACCTTCTACTTAAGCCTTTTCTGCCAGTGTGCCCTTGTGCAGGTCACCCGAGAGTGGCAGCTGACTGTCCCCGTGACTGACGAGCTGGTACAAAACACAGGGGCTCTATGGAGCCCCTTTGAGAAGTGGTGGGTTGCTGACTTTGTAATAAGAAGTGGTTTTCTGGGTTTTTTTCCCCCGCCACATGTCAGACAAACTGTTCATGCCAGCGCAGAACAGATGGTTCATAGCTTCCAGTTTGTCAGATTTTCTCTCCGACTCCTACTGGGAGCCTGATTGAGCTGCAAGTAGTTGAAGGGTTTGGTTGAGCAGAACACGACATCATGCATGCTCCCACAAAAAGTCTCCTCAGCTGATGTCTGTTAGATACTGCGGGATGTGACCATGGACTGCACGGCTTTACCCACAGTAGCCTCGTACACACAAGTTCATTTGAAAGTCAGAGCAGGCTCCTGACTACAGTGTGTAGGAAGAACATGGTCTCATGACCTGGTATCTAGGATGTGGCAGAGCATTTTCCATCTAGAGCCCCTTCCGCATCCTTGTTGAAAACAGCTCATGAAGTATAGAATCACAGAATGGTTTGGGTTGGAAGGGACCTTATAGACCCCATCCAGTTCCAACCCCCCTGCCAGGGGCTAAGCTGCCTCCCACCAGCCCAGGATGCTCAGAGCTCCATCCAACCTCGCCTTGAACACTGCCAGGGAG